TCCGCCCTTCCCCCCCCCCCCAGTGTCTCTGGCTGGTGCAGTGGGGGGGCAATGCTCTGGACAGGGGGTGGGAAGAAGCCATTGCTGGGTGGGTGCTGCGGTGGTACGTCCCTCCCACCCTGGGACCAGCGTGCATGGTGCACCCCAGCCCACCCCCTCCCCCCCAGGCACCTGTGGGTGTTGTGGGGCAGTGCCAGGCCAGCCACGTAGATGGCAATGACGGTGAGCACCACGGCTTCCGACTCGGAGACGGGGAAGTGCTGCGTGGCCACGTGCTGGCCCAGCACGGGCAGGAAGTAGAGGACGAGGCCCGTGGCATGGCAGATGAGCAGGGGAGGCACCAGGGTGAGCAGACCGGGCCGGGACTCCTGTAGGGCGGGCAGGGGCAGATCCTGATCAGGGGATACACACACCGTCCCAAGGCCCAGAGGTGACTAGGCCTATCCCCAGGGAGTCTCTGGCCTGGGGCGGAGAAGAGACACCCCAAACACATCTCCCTTCCCCAGATGAGACTGATACGGGGCCAGGGATGCAGAGCAGGGACCCCAGAAGTGAGCGGTTGGGCACGCAGGTGGGAGGCCAAACACGCACACACGGAAGAAAGGCAGCCCCGGGGCTTGGGCGCTGGCCTGGGAAGCGGGAAACGTGGCTGAGACCCTGCTGGACATGTCCCGTCCCCGTCCCTCTCTGGTCCCAGTGCTGGCCTGGCCCAGCCTGCACACTGGGGAGAAGAGGCCTGGGCTGGCAGCGGGTGAGGGAAGCAGTGAGGAGGGGAGGGAGGCATTGCAGGGCCCACAGTCTGAGCCCTGTCAGGGCCATGAGGGAGCTGTAGGGAAGGGGAAGCAGTCGCTGCCTATGGGCTGGGGAGCTCCAGGCTGGCTGGAAGAGCCTGGGGGCTCTGGGCTTGTCCTGCCGTGGCTGCGCCCCTCACCTCCGTAGCTGTATGTGAGGCCCCCTGGTTGCCGTCGCAAAGCCGCTCCTCAGGGCCCATATCGCATTTACTCAGCTTCATCCACAGGTCCAAGGCGTACAGCTGGAGTCAAGGGAGCTACTGGGCTCCAGCCTTGTGCCCCTGAGCCTCCCCGCAAGGAGCCCAGGCCCCCCGTGGTGACCCCCATCCAGCTCTGGGCAGCTGCTGGGAAAGGTGCCACCGCTGGCTCGGGCCCCAGCCAGTTTTTTTTTACGTTAAAAACTGGAACACCTGCCCGGGGAAGCTGACAGCAGAACCGGATGCCGTCATTGACCATCGGCCACCTGACCACAGGTGGCCCAAGACTCCGGAGCAGAACTTTTTCGCTGCAAACAGGATGACAAATAGTCCCCAGCCAGCAGCTCTCAGGTGCCCAGGTAGGAGCGGGGCAGCAGAGCCTGGCCATGCTCCTGACCCCCGCAGCCCCAGGTGGGGCTGGGTCCCCTCAGCCAGGCGCCCTCCCATCTCCTCCCTCCAGCCGCTGCCCCCGCAGAAAGGATATCTTGAGGACGAGGATAAGGATGAGGAAGCCGAAGGCCGGCATGTAGACGCCGATGGAGACGAAGCGGGACAGTGACGGCAGCAGGTAGAAGAAGTAGGACTGGTGCAGACGCTCCAGCAGGTTGTTCAGCTTCCGGAACATCCCCTCCAGGGTCCTGCAGGGACAGAGGTGGGGACACGGCCATGGCCACAGCACCGATCGCAGGCCCGCGCATGGCCCCAAGGCCAGAGCAGGATAGCGGCTCAGCCGTGCCCCCTGCCTGAGGCCACTCACCCCATGCTCCTCAAGGCCAGATGAGTCACCCAGAGCTCAGCTCTGCCAGGAACCGTCTCAGTCCGCTCCCCCACCCCGGGGCTCCCCTGCACCCCAGCTCTGCGATGCTCCCAGCACCGCCTCTACCCCAGCCCCAGCCCCAGCTCCCCATGCACAAGTGCCCCTCGGCCCCGCACTCACTTGCCCACGGTGCTCATGTCGTACTTGTACTGCCGAAAGCTGTTGATGCCGCGCACGGTGATGGCTTCAACGTGGTAGCGCAGGAAGAGGCCGTGGTCACCTTGGGGCCGCCCTGAGCCCTGCTTCAGCACCATGAGCAGCAGCGTCTGCAGGCTGTGCACATAGGCCGGCAGCGTGTCCCAGTCCGTGCGCTGCAGCTGTGGGGACGGGGTGGGGAACAGCAGGCCATGAGGCAGCGCCAGGCCCAGCCAGGGGCACTGGCCTTGCAGGGCAGGAGTAGGGGGAGAGCTGAGGCGGGGATGTAGATGTGAGCTCAGAGCATGACCCCTCCGCCCAGCCTCACCTTGCCCTGGATGGTGCAGAGCAGCCCGTTCTTCTGGCAGAAGGCGTAGAAGAGGTTGACCAGGTCCAGGTTGGGCAGCTGCCCGTTGAGCCCCTCCACGGCCACGTCAAAGCTGGTGACGACGTCGCTGCTCAGCTCCAGCGAGACGGCCGCCTGGATGGCCCCGGCCCGGCCAAGCATCTCCGACGAGTGCACCTCTGCGGGCAGTGCCATGGCCGGTCAGGGAGCCGCCCTGCCCAGACCATGCTCCCTGGCTCAGCCGCAGCCCCCAGGAGGGCAGCGAGTGGCTGCGTGAGAGCTGGGAGGAGGGGGGCGGGGCCTCGGCTGCCCCCACGAGTGCCCGGCGGGCCCACAACTCACCCGTGACGTTGACATCGTGGTACGCCTCCAGCCACGCCTCCATGCCGATCAGGTCGTGCTCGTTCACCAGGAAGATGATGTCCTTTGCCCAGTAGATCTGACCTGCACGCACAGGGCGCTGCCAACGTGAGCCAGGGGCCGCGCTGCAGGGGGGTGGTGCTGGGTCCCGTGGGAAGGCCCAGGGGAAATCAGCCGGGTGGGGGGACCCTGGACAGACCTCTGGGCTGCTGGAGCCTCTTGGGCTGGGCAGAGACCTCTCCAGGGAGCAGCCAGCCTCTGCCCGTCTCAGGGTCCCCAGCACAGATGCCAACGGTGGGCTGGGGGCCAGGAGCATCTGACTGGGCCCCGGAGCCAGGCAGTCATGATATGATCCCACAGGCGATCCCTCATTGGGCCCTGGAGCCCCATTCATCCCAGTCTCCCTGCCGGGGACCCCCCTGAGCGGGCCACAGGAAGCCCTTGCTGGCCACGGAGCGGCATGGACCATGCCCTCCAGCCCCCTGGGAGCCCTCCTCCCACCCCACCACTCGCTCACCTCGGAAGTAGGAGGCCAGCGCCAGCATGAGCCCCACGGCCTGGTTGTTCTGTTGCCCCTCGCTGCAGGGCACGCTCAGCACCAGCGACTCGGTGCTGGCTGCACGTGGTGCCCGCAGGATCCCGTACATGTTCGTGCCCTTCACCATCTGTGGGGGAGGCACCAGAGGGCTCAGGACGGCAGCCGGAGACACCCTCCTCCTCCCTCTGCCCCGTCCCAGGGAGAAAGGAGCCTGGGCAGAGCCAAACGGCACGGAGGGCTCTGCCGGGGGGTGGCTCGCAGGCTGGGAGTTCGCCCAGTGCCTGCATTCAGCCCCATGACCAGCCCCTGCTCCCGGGCGCTGTCAGCGTAACTAGCCTGCTGCAATCACCACACAGCCAGGCCCAGCGATGCCCCAGGGCTGGGGGCTGGCTGCTGCCTGAGGGGAGGGTGTCTCATCCATCCTCTCACACCGGCACTGTCTCAGCCCGTGCTCAGCACCTGGCTCCAAGCGCCCTAGGGCAGGGGCTGCAGCCCAGCCTGGTACCTACGTATCTCTCGCGCGCCTCATCGGGGAAGGGCAGGGTGCGGGAGAAGGGCTGCTTGTAGACCTCCAGGCCCAGGTTCCACATGGTCTTCTCCAGCCAGGCTACGGGGATGCCCCTGGGAGAGGAGGGGGAGCGTGAGACACAGGACCAGGCCCCCCTTCTGCAGCCAAGTCCCCTCGACTCAGCAGCTCCTGAGGGCAACACCGCGCAATGCCCAGCTGTGCTAAGGCCCCAGCACGCAGCGCCTCTGAGCTCTGTGGAAAGAGGGGACAGGACTGTGGGCTTCAAGTGCTTGAAGGGCTGCTGGAAGGAAGAGGGAGGACAGCTTTCTCGCTTGCTGCACAGACCTGTGGCTTGAAGCTGCAGCAAAGTCAGTTTAGGTTGGATCTCAGGAAAGACTCCTTCACTGTCAGGGCGGGGAAGGAGTGGGAGAGACCCCGGTGGGGGGGGAACGGACGGACACACAACTCTATCACTGGAGGTGTCAAGGAGAGGGTGGACAGGTGCTGGGCAGGGAGGATCTAGGTGTAGCGATGTCTGTGCTCTGCTGTGGGGGTTCCCAGGCTTCTGGGCTTGCCCCCTTTCTGCTCCGTGTGTCAGGGCGTTTAAGCCTCCCCCAGAGGCGCTGGGTGTTAGGGACGGGGCTGGGCTGTGCCAGTGCTCCTGCTGCACCGACCCGCAGGGTCCTTGCGGGAGGGTCTTACCCTCACGCTCAGGCTCAGCCCTGCACTGCACTGGGGCAGGAAGGGATTTCCCCCTTGCTCATACTGGTCTGGACTGGGAGGGTTTGCTGTCTTCTGCAGTGGAGGCACAGCCTCGGTCTGGGGTCTCGTGCACCTATTACAGAGCCAGGATGTTGGCCGTGGCAGCCCCCCGGCTTTCCGTGGCAGGGTCAGGGGGTGATGCCTGGTGCTGTGCTGGTTGGTGACAGTCTTGTGTAGAGCTGGATTTGCCTGGGCTGGTTTGAACAGGGGTCTCGGGCAAGGGGTAGACCAGATGTGGCCTCCACAGGCCCCTTCCAGCCCCACTGCTCTGTGGTTCTCTGCTGCGCTGGGAGCTGCGCCCTCCGCCCGTCACACCCCTGGGGGCTGCCAGAGCCAGCACTGCAGACCCCTCCCTGGAGTTCAGCGCAGCCCCTCTGTCTCCAGCCCCCAGCGCAGCAGCTGACCCCCGAGGCTCCGCTCCCGCAGTTTGGACTCACCCGGCCTTCTTCTTGTGGCCGGCGAACTCCCGGGCATAAGAGAGCGCCCGCTCGCCGTACGCGAACTGCTCCTCCACCATGGTGGAGCCCATGGCGTTCTCCGACATGTAGGTGCGCAGGGTGAAGGGGTGGAAGGCCAAGCCCAGGAACCAGCCCAGCCCGGCCACGTAGCAGAGGATGCTGCGGAGACAGGACACGCGCGGGGTGAGGACCCCAGGCGGGTTCCCCTGACCCCCCAGCAAGGGAAGGACTCTGCTAGCATGGGGCCCAGGGATCCGTGCGCATGGGCCGTGCTTTCAGCTCCCCCTTGGGAAACATTCAGGGACATCATCTGTCACAACCCTGGCTAGGGGGAAACCACTGCTCAGGCCCTGCCAACTGCTGGGCCAAAGGAGAGAAGAGGATGGAAGGCCGGGAGGAGCGGGGAGCAACCAGGAGCCCCCAGGCCGGGGCCGCGGACTCACCAGAGCGGCGTGTTGAGGCGCAGGATGAGCCGGGACAGCGCCCGCCGGCGGTACGGGTCCGACAGGAGCCCCATGGCAGGGCAGGGCCAGCGCACGTGGAGCTCCGGGTCACTGCAGGGAGGACAGCGCAGCGGGTGAAGCATGGCCCCAGCACGCCCGGCCCGCCCACACGTGGGCCAAGCAACCTCTGTCCTGCTGGCGCTGCCCCCACCTCCTCGGTGCAGCCACGGCAGGAGCCAGAGCTGGGCCTGCATGTGACAACCTGGGCCCGCACAGCTAAGTGTGGGCCAGTGGTGCAATGGAGAACACATCTGACTACAGCTCAGAAGACTGTAGGTTCGACTCCTGCCTGGCTTGTACTGCCTGCTTTTTCAAGGGGGATCTGGAGAAGGTTCAGAGGAGGGCCACTGGTATGGTTAGTGGTCTCCGTGCAAGACCCTACGAGGGGAGGTTGAAGGATCTGGATCTCTTCAGCCTTCACAAGAGACGTCTGAGGAGAGACCTTGTAGCTGCCTATAAGTTCATCAAGGGAGGACAACAGGGAATTGGTGACGCGCTATTTACCAGAGCGCCCCAGGGAGTAACTAGGAAAAATGGGTGCAAACTAGTGGAGAGTAGATTTAGGTTAGACATCAGGAAGAAACTTTTCGCAGTAAGAGTGGCCAGAGTCTGGAACGGGCTCCCAAGGGAGGTGGTGCTGCCACCTAACTCGGAGATCTTCAAGAGGAGGCTTGACAGTCACCTGGCTGGGGTTGTCTGACTTCGGTCCCCTTTCCTGCCAGGGGCAGGGGGTCGGACACGATTTCAGAGACATTCGGGCTGGAAGGGACCTCAGAAGATCATCTAGTCCAGCCCCCTGCCCCAGTGGTAGGAAGTCAGCAGGGATCACAGGATCCTAGCAAGATAAGCATCCAAATGTGTCTTGAAGGTGTTCAAAGTAGGTGCTTGCACCACCTCCGGCGGCAGTCTATTCCAGACCTTGGGGGCTTGGACAGTAAAGAAGTTCTTCCTTATGTCCAGCCTGAAACGGTCCTGGAGGAGTTTGTGTCATCCCTTGGGGCGCTCTGGTGAACAGGTGTTCCCCCAGATCCTGATGGTCACCCCGATAAATGTATAGGTGGCCACCAGATCGCCCCTGGGCCTGTGCTTTTCCAGGCTGAAGAGCCCCGTAGCTCTCAGCCTGTCATCGTAGGGTCTGTTTCCCTGACCTCTGATCATGCGCGTGGCTCTTCTCTGGACTCTCTCAAGCTTCTCCACATCCTTTTTGAATTGTGGAGCCCAAAACTGGACGCAGTACTCCAGCTGCGGCCTCAC